TTAAATATTATTAAAAAGTAAGGATAAATAGTTAATTTTTTTTTAAATTATAAATAATTCTAAATTATTCTATAATTTTTTACAGAAATTAACAAATAATTAACACGAAAATTAAATTAACCGACACTCAACAATTTTTGATTTTTTTTTTATTAATTAAAAATTAGAACTAAGAAACTATTTTTAAAAATTCCACGTATAATTTTTATAATTTTCTGCATGTAAAATTTTTGTTTTAATTTTTAAAAAATTATTTTTCAACAAAATAAGGTATAAAAATTTTTAAATGTCGGCTAATTTAATTTTCATATAATTAACATAAAAGATTTACCGAGAAGTATAGTCAAATTTAACGGTGAGAATGTAACGAATTCTGACTTGATTTTCATTATAAACAATAAACTTATCATGGCGTAAGTCCGTCCTGCGGAAGAATTCAACAGGTGGCCCACAAGGAACTTCAACTCCTGAAAGTTTCTCTGCAAGTGTTTGATCCGGTGATAAAAATCCCCTTCCAAAGATCGAATGTTTACCAAAAGGCAACTGCTGTTCGTCATCAATTTTATAGCACTCAACAACATCTCCCAACGCAACTTCACAAAGCAATAAAACGCCATTTTTATTCCTTCCGTAGGTACCGCAATGATTCGCAGCTTTGGACGCAATATTTGTAAAGCATATTTCTTCAGCAAAGGAACGGTTATTTAGTCGTGTGCCATTGAAACCTTGGAATAAAATATCGGCTACTTTATGAACTTCAGTTCCATACCAAAGTAATTTTATGTTGTCTAAATTTTTCATAAACTTTGTGTCATCATTTTCTTTTAAAGTGAAGATATTTTCAACTTTAATTGTGTAATGATCGTGAAAACGTGAGTGAGTATTTTGAATGTACTTTAGAATAACCTTGAAATCATCGGTATCAACGCTGAGGACATTAATTGAAAATTGCAGTTGATTGTAGCAAATGTCTAACAAGTTTTCACTTAAGCTGTACATTCTGTGATTGAAGTTACAGTTGTCAAGTTGACTGTCTATCAATTCAAGCAGCATCTCGAACATCACTCGAAATATTTCTTCATTGTTTAAATGCGATGTTGAACGTTGCTTGTCTTCAAATGCATAAAAGTGCTTATGGTGCCGATATTTTTGCAGTTTTTTGTCAAAAAGTTTCTTGCTTTTTTCATCTAGCTCATAATGTTTTATTACTTCTTTCAGCATGTTTATGTTGAATATCCTCTTCATGAGATTTTGAATCGATGAAGAAAGAGTAGGCTGCACCATTTTTATTTTTCAGTACAATGATGACCTTAAATAAACAAAATATTAATCGTTTATCGAATTTAAAACTTAAAAAAAAAATTATCAACTCATCAAAGTTTATATTTTTTTAAATTGATTATTAAAATTAAGTAGTAATTTATAATTGATAATAATATGTGAAGAAATCCACTTTTAAAAGTTTTCAACAAAATAAATTGATTTTATATGTAAATAATTTAAACGCAATTTTCAATTGAGCTCTCATCATGTCTTCAATCAATTTAATATTCTTCAAATTCTTTATATAAGTAGAGTATAAAAAAAAAAAAATTCATTGATTATTAATTACAAAATATTTTGTTTTTAATTTGCATACTGATATTATAACATTTTTCTTTTTACAGTGATCAAAATAATTCGCCGAAAGAAATATAAATATTACACTCACCTTATAACACATATGCCACGTTAAGATTTAAGACAACTGGGTTTAAAATAACATTTAGACATGTGGAAAAAACGTCAATGAGAAACATTGATAGCAAATTCCGCCGCAGGACAAAAATGAACAGCTAAACTGTATATAAGCTATATTAAATTATATTCTTAATGGAAGAAGTAAATACTCATTACGTTCATTAAAGATTTTTTGTTTTGATAGTATAAAAAAAATTGATAAGAATAAAATAATCAAAGTTTCTAAAACTTCAATTTTTAGTCAAATTCGAAGTTTTTTGACATATGATAATTTTTTTGATTTCTTACCATGCTATTATTAGCTTGTAAAATATGAAATAAAATTTAAACAATTAGTAAGAAAAAAATTTTATCAAAATAAAAAAACTACAAATTTTTTTCTTCAAAATAATTTTTAACTGATGATATAAATTATAATTTGAAGTTATATCATGTAACGGGGTGTTTTTATTTCCGCCGTTCAATAGCAGCCTAAATTATTAGTTAGATGTTAACTCCAAATACCATGAGACTATTATATGAAGATGTTAAATTTAAGGCGCCACCAGGTTGTTACAACGGTGTCCTGGAAACCGTAAGAGACATGAGAGATAATCTACAGGGTAGAGAGATTTAGAAAATTATCTGGAAATGAATGAAATCAATAATTCGTGGTTACCAATTATTTATTCAACAATATCACACTCACACGCACTCTATAAATTCTATTACCAAAATTTCCATATAATAACTCCTTAACTAATACCCGCGAAACAGAGGGGAAACCGTACCATAATTCACGGGTACGAGGACCGCATGACCTCCACTTTTCCTTTCCCTAGCGGATCCGAATAAACTGGTACACACTGAAATTACACCGTGTAAATGTGAAAAATTTATACCATAGTTACACCAAAATCCAACCGTGAGTTTAAAAAAATAAGTGTTACACTGTATGGACACCGAAATTCTACCGTGAATATTGGATAGAATGCGTGTTATACCGTATTTACAATGAAATTACACCGAATTGAAAACCCCGTCCTACACTGTGTGTACACCAGAATCCTACCGAAAACATTGAAAGAATGAGTGTTACACTATATTTACAATGTATTTACGATGAAATTATACCGAATCCAATACCCCGTGTTACACTGTATATACACCAGAATCCTACCGCAGGCATTAAAAAAACGAGTGTTATACTGTATTTACAATGAAATTACACCAAATTGACAACCCCGTGCTACACTGTGTGTACACCAGAATCCTACCGAAAAGATTGAAAGAACGAGTGTTACACTATATTTACAATGTATTTACGATGAAATTATACCGAATCCAATACCCCGTGTTACACTGTATATACACCAGAATCCTACCGCAGGCATTAAAAAAACGAGTGTTACACCGTATTCACACTGTATTTATAATAAAATTACACCGAATCTAAAACCTTGTATTACGCTGTATGTACACCAGATAAAATAATTTGTCTATTATGTTTCGAACGATCTGCCTGATTTATCATTTTTTGCGAGCATGCTCATCATTGTACATGGGATAATTATAAAGAGTTGGAAATTTTCTGGTAGACAGAGACATTAAATAATATTTTCGTAAGATTTGAAAAACTGTGCTTTTTTTCAATCGTTTGTGCAATATTTTATCCGATAGTACCAAAATGAAACACTCATTAAAATGAATGTTCTTTAAATCGATATTCACAGGTCATCCATCGAATTTTTTTACTTTACTCCTGGATAACGCGGGGAAAAATTTTATTAACTTTGTAATTTCTTGTTTCATTGTCTTCAAATCATAATAGTGATATATATTGATCATAACACGTTTAAGTTAAAATAGCAACAGTATTCTGATCTCTTTATACTTCCGTTTACTTACATACATGTTTATTGATGTAGAATTTAAAAATTTATTTTTAAAAACTGCATTTTAAATTAATGATTTACATTTAAATGTTTTTAAAATTAAAACTTTTGTAAAATTTTAGACATTCTAAAGTTATATTTGATACTTACATATTCATTTATCAAAAAAATGGATAATTGAAAGAAAATGTAATTAAATTTTAATCACACACCAAGTATCATATTTTTAAAAAATTTTACAAAATTTTCTATCGTTCAAAATTACAACTCTGTATATAGTTCCAAATTAGTCATTATTCATATCTCATATTCAAGTTTTAAACATAACCAACTTTTTATATAAAAATCATATCATAAATTTATGTTACCATTTTTAAGTTATCTAAAAGCAATGGTTGAATATAAATTATTCTTAAGATCATTTTTCTAATCTATTTCAATTTTACTAAGCAATTGCCAGTAGAATATTTAAAAATTTTCATCAGCAATTTTTTTTCAGAGTTGGCTATTTTAAATTTAGACTAGTTGTTATAATTAGCCAATATATACCAGAAAGTTCTACAAAAAGTTATGCTGATTTTCTCAACTTCGAAATTATGTTCTTACGATGGATTATTTTTATAAATTCACTATTTAACAGGTCCGTATAAATAAACAAAATGTAAAATATACAGTTTAATTTATAAAATATATTTGTTCTTGATTTTCTGGTGAAAATTATAAATTATCGGTGTTTATAGGAATCTTACTTATTTATTGTAATTTTATCAAATTTTCTCAAAATTTATCTTCTTCTCATGCTGAAAGTAAAAAATGAGTTTTTTAAAATGTATCTTATGATTACCAGAGTCGAAATCTGCAACGTTCATGCAACATCTCAGACATTATAAACGTAAATAAATGCTTCTGATTTTGACTTGGGCAATTGTTGTTTTTAGCTCTAAGTCACGCTCAAAGTTCTGAATCAAATTCAAAATTTATATTTTATGTTAATACTATCAATAATATTTACTTGAGAAAGAATTCATGAAATCTATAACTAATTCAAGAAGACATTCAAAGGATTCGTTTAATTGCATGTTTTATTTATCATCAACATTTTTTAATATGAACCAGTAACTCTGAGACAGCGATTTCTACATGCTTTTGATAATAATACATTACTCAAAATCAAATTTATTAATAGAATAATTTTTGATAATTAATTAGCTTTTTTAATTCGATAATGATGTTACGTAATATAAAGTTACTAAAAATCTAACTTAAATAAAAAATTAAAAAATACATATTTCGATTTGCAATATTAACAATTTCAAAAAATTTGTATAGATAAAAATTACAAATATTTGTAAAATTTGTTTTTAAGTTAAAAAGTTTTTAATTATCTCAGTCAGTTTCCCAACAATTTGGAAGTTCAAAAACAAATTTCCCTATTTCCGTACATATTAGAGTTGCAGGCTTTACAAATTTTAATTCACTTATAAAAATTAGTCGATTGCTTATCTCAACTTCTTTTATATACCTTGTACCATATGCACATTTTTTTATATTAAAAACTTTCACAAAAAAGCCTTGCATTTTATGATTATCTTCATTGTTAAATTCAATAATAGATAATATTTCTCCAAATGTATTATTATAAAATATTATGGAATTACAGAATTTATTATCATTATCGCTCTTTCTGCTGTAATCAACTCCGTTCACTCGAATTTTAGCGTATGATGAAGCACAGTTAATAGGATTATAACCCATCTCTTGAAGTGTATCGAGTTCGGTTTCGTTAAGTATTGTGGTTTCAGCGCTGCTCATACTTTGAAAATCTTTATTAATTACAGTTCCGTCATTTAAGTTAGGCATCTTCATAGTGTTACGTATAAATTGCTTGGTTTCAGGAGAAATAACATCGCTATAAACTGTGGATTCTATGAATTTGGTCATTAAAAATCTGGTCACTATTTGGTCAGCTCTCCCATGAGGGCTCGTTACTTTGTCCATAACTTTCTTGTTCCAAGATTCATAAATCGATGCGTTATGTACCCACATTGGACCTAAATTTTTAATTGTTCTCGCCAAGTGAGTTAATAAATGATTATTATAACTCATTTGATCTAACCCATATAATTCTTCAAACTGTGTGACATATTGTTCTATAAGATTTCCAGCATGCTCAAGATCAGTTCTTGATATAGAATCTTTATTGAAAATGTGCACAGCTTCACACAGGAGAGTAAAATGTTTGATATATTTAATGTCTAATATACCATCCAAACACGGTGCAGCGTAATCCAACCAGTTTCTTAATTCTGAGCCTTTCCAATTATTAAATGTTTCTAATTTTCGTGGTAAACGACTTCGACGTGATGGAGGTCTTATAGATAATAAGCGATTATTAATTCTTTCCTGACTAGTTGGATCACCAATGTAATATGGAGTATCTGTAGCTGTAAAAAATAAATTTGAGTGTTGTCGTCCAGCTCCCAAAAAAACTGCATGTAAACTGTCAACAGCAAGTCCATTACTTAAATCAAATTCTGGAAAAGCAGCTAAAGCAGAAATTCCCTTTATACCATTAGTTACTGTTTTGGATTCGTAAGCAATGAGCATATCACTTCTTATTTCTTCATCAGTGCGCAAATTTCCATAACTATGACTTCTTGGATATACGATTTTATGTCCATGATATTCTCCTGCTGCGTAACAAAACGAACATCCGTTGTAGCCATTAAACTGCTTCATTTTCATAATAAGAGATCTTGCTGGAGAATCAACAGTACAAGTTATAACAGCAAATTTTGATAAAATTTGTTGTCCTTCGGAAGTTTTCCAAGCAATTCCAGTTTTGTGCAATTCTTGTAATTCCTTCACTATTGGATCTAACATGAGGTTTAAAGATGGATGACATGTATCTACAAAAACTCCTGCCAAAAGCATGTGCTTCTTACGTAGATGTGGTGATAATTCATTAATCTGAAAGTAAATAGGCCATGCGCTAGCTTTTGACGATTTTGCTACTTGACAACCATCTGTATTGATTGTGAACGAATAATTTGATGGATTGCTCAAGAAATTGCCAAATGAACTCAAATTTTTATATACTTGTCCATCAAAGATGTCTTCCACAGCTGATGAATCTTTTTTTTCTCTCGTAAATCGATAACTCAATGACTTCTCAATACCTGGAATTTTAAATATACCAGATAATTGGCTACTTAAGTTTAGCTGAAGAAAATAATGGACATTTTCTGATTTTTTATTTGGACCACATGATTCGCAACTACAATTTTTATATGGCGTTGTCCCTGTTCCAAGATTTTCTTTACAGATACCGCAATAAAGATGACGGGTAATCAATGATTCATCACGATGTAATGCTTTCCATAGAGCTTTTTTAGTTGTCGGAAGGTTATTATTACTATGAGTTAATTTCATCCAAGTAAGCATGGACAATGTCGCTTCAAAGGAAAGGTTATTGCGCATAGATATTGCAATTATAGCCAACAAGTGATCATTTTCATTAAAAGTAGATTTAGAAACAAATGGAAAGGTAAATAATGATTTATTGACACTAAAAAAAGGTTTGTTTGAACTACTTTCATCATTAGAGTCACTGTCACTATTATCGTCGTTATTATCTTCGCTATCACTGTCAAGATTCATTGCACTTCGATCATTATTGTTTTCAACCTGTTCAGCATTATTGAATTCTTCAGAACTATCTGAAAAATTGTCTGGATAATCTATATCATCAGCAATAACCTCATGGGTTTCTTCTGGATTCATAGGCTGACTATGTTCTTCTAAATTTTCCTCCACTCCTTCCATCTCAAGGAGTAAAGGTTGATCATTGTTTCTTGTCGATCGATTTCTAAAAAAAAAATAATTAGTAAATATGAATAGTACATATACTTATTCGATATAAATAATTATTATAAATAACAATGAATTTGTTTACAGAAGATAAATACCAAAGATCTCTTGCAAGCATAAAAGAACCGGGGAATTTAAGAAACTTAAAAATTTATTCTTGTTTGAATTTATTAAGAGTTTTAATTTAAGACTGAACTCAAGACACTCGTACAAATTTTGATATTCTTATTTATTTCGTATTAAGAAAACTATGATTCAAGTTTTTGTTTTGACGTGGGTAAGAATTTTTTTTATCAGCGATTGTCTTCTTGGTAGCACAACCTTAAGCCAAATATTTCTGCACACATCATGTAATTGTTTCATTTACACATAGTACATGCATTCCGAATATTTTTAAAGTGTGAAGCAACGCCAAATAAAATAATAAGTGAAAATTTACAAGAATAACTTGAAAGATTACATTATCGAGTTATTCGTAATTTCTAAATAACACAATGTCATTTTAAAATGATTTTACCGGTTAATAAATTAACATTCAGAGATTTTTACTTCAATTAATAATCAATATACAGCTTGGTAGAATTTAATCGATATTTTATGCTTTTTATAATTCTTAAAAACAATTAGTTATGAAATCTTCCTAGAGTTCAGTTCTGAATATTAAATATAAAACAACTGTTCAAAATTATCCATGAGTTGAAATATTAAAGATTCAAATCGATTAGGAAAAGCATAATTGATTTCAAAGAAAAGTATTTTCATGAAATTGCATGATGTTTTATAATACAAAAATATTATCAATCGCTTATAGCAACCCAGATGAACACGTTTACGGAAAAATTTACGGAAAAATTTTGTAGGAGAATTTCAAGTCGAAAATTGCTATTCGGCCTCACCCGAAATGGAAAGTAAATTTCATTTGATGTAGAATTCTCATTATTTTCGCTATTATAATTTGTTGAAAACCAAATTGTTAAATTAATTACAATAAAGAAGTTCTGCAAAAGTTTTCTTGGTGTATTGACTATTTGGATAATTATCTTGGACTAGTTTGAAGATGAGCAAAGTCTATGTAAGCTTTTTTAATAATAAATCATCAATCGTTATGTCTACTAGATTCATGATGATATGAATATTTTGATCATTAGTAAGTAAGAAAAATTTAGTTAATAAAAAATACTCAATTTTAGTTATAATATCAAAGGTAAAAAAGAAAAAACAGTCAATATTATGTGCATCCAATTGAAGGCAATTTCATTAGCTATCACATGAATTTTTTATAAATTATCTATCTCTTTTCAATCAAAAGTTATACATCAATGAAGTGACCGAAAACGTGATTTTCACTATTTTGAAAATTTTAAATGGCCGCCATTTCTAAACTAATTGACCGATTTTGCTCATCTTCTAACTCGTTTAATTAATTTAATTAAGGTAGTACTACCGTTACCTCAAAAGTCAAATCCCAAAACCTAACCTTATTTGATTAACGTTGTAGATTTCCCTATACTAAATCGCGTTGGAGAAAGAGAGACAGAAATAAATTTTCAATGTTTTTTATTAACAAATATTCTCATATTCTCGGAAACCATACTGATTGTTATTAAATATGTTTTATATGTTATTTTCTCTCGTTGTCTTAATTTTTATAAGAATCTGAACGTCCAGTTTTGTGAAATAAAAAAATTAGAAAAACGGTTCACCCTAAAGGCCATCCCTGCAACTTCCCGCTTATTTTGTACTTAAACGCTTCAAACTACACATTACGTTTTTGAGCTCTTCGAGCTCAAAAATATTGTTTTTGTGTCAATTTGAGCTCTTCGAGCTCAAAACTCTAATAGCAGTTTAAAGACACAATTTTTTGAATTTTCAAACGGCAATAACTTTTGAATGAATGAATCGATTTTCAGGTGGTTGGCGGCAATCGATGTAGTTTTTTGAGCTCTATAAAAAAAGTAGCTGTTTTAAGCTTTTGAGCTCTTCGATTTCAAAAGTCTTATCAAAATTTGATAAAACACGATTTTTTTAATTTTCAAACTGCTATAACTTTTGAATGAATGAACCGATTTTCACGCGGTTGGCGGCAATCGACGCAGTTTCTGAAGCTCCATGAAAAATTTTCAAGTTTAAATCGATCGAGCCATGAATTTCGAAGTTATTACAAAAAAACACTTTTTTCGATTTTTTTCGACAACGATATCTCACGAACGCATCAACCGATTCTGACGTTTTTGGTGGCGATCCATGGGGGTTTTCAAGGTTAAGAGCTGATTAGTTTTTGAGACCGATCGGTTGAGCCAATTCGGAGATATTTAAAAAAAATGAAAAAAAAAACAACTTTTTTTTTCACTTTTTTTGGATTTTCTCGAAATCTACCGGTCCGAATCGGTTCAAATTTTCAGGAAATCTAAGTTTAGTGAAGCCCTCTCGAATGACACCAACCGCGATGAAATCGGTCAAGTCGTTCAAAAGTTACAAGAGGTTTACATACACACACACACACACACACACACACACACACACACTCGATCATTTCCTGGATCATAAATTTTATAAACTTCAATACATTGAGCATCATTGAACGACTCAGAGATTTTAAACTGTTTCTTCTGACATAAAACGAAATTTCGAAGTAATTCCTCCGGTAAATTTTGGACTTTTGTATTAAATCTTAAATATTTAACAATTTCCATTCATAATTTGTGTTTCAATATTTGTAGTTCTATTCACGCTAACGATTTTACCATTCATATCTTTAAAAGAAAAACAACTATTTCCCCACGATGGTCCAAAATTTTTCACATCATTTGGTAAATGGAGAAGTTGGTGAATGTTGATGTTATCAAAAATCTTAATCTATGTAAAATTTCAAAGTAATAGACAAATTTTTCAAGTAATCCAGCAAGAACTTCGATGTTTTCGTATAAAACGACATCTTTGTTTAACAAGAATATTGCGGAAACGGACAATAAATAGCGATTGTAATATTTTGTCTTCATAATTGTAGACAGAATAACAGGAGAATAATAATAACACCAAGTCTTGAGTTCGGAGTCTTTCCATGGTTGGTACTTTGATAACTCTCGAGGTTAACGAGCAGAATTCGGCGTTCATATTTACAAAATTTTTTTATCGATCACATTTAAAACTGTAGGATTCAAAGTCGAAACTTCTGGGTCAATATTACCCTTTTTAGGGTATTTTTCCAGGATTTCCTTTTTCTTATTTCCTAATCTGAGTTTAAAGGAACAGGAAGATCTGGGTCACACATGTTATCAAAGAATTGATTTTTTTCGATATTTTTGTAGTAACAGGAGCGCAAATGGTTCGCAAAACGATCGCAAATGTGCTACTTGCTACTCAATTTATTAAATACATTAGAAATAAATTTTCTTTGTTGCTGTAAGATGGACAGCGGAGTTGTAGTCTAGGTCCACCTCAGTATAGCTCTCCCGTGCGGTGTTTTCATGCACGGACAGGTATAAAAATATCAAAGAATCGAGTTTTCATCAAATCTTGACGTTTAAAGGTCACAGGAAGCCTCCCTGACTATCCCCGCGAGGTTGTCACGGTGCCTGTATGTATGTATGTATATATATATATATATATATATATATATATATATATGTGTGTGTGTGTTTTTTTTTTTTTTGTAGAGGTACGAAAAAAGATCTTCAAAAGACACCGCTATCGTTAACTCTGCCGCCTAGATGGTACGGGGAGGACTGGATTGGAACCGCGTTAGCATTACTTCAATCCAGTCGTGCTGCGTCTCACGACGCCTACTCCTGGTTACTGGTCCCTTTCTGCGATTTTGTCTTTCAGGAGGTGCTGTGCATAAGCTGCAACAGCTGACCAGTTTTCCTCTTGTTTAATCATAAAGGTCACCAGGCTTGAGGGGGAGAGCCTGGTGCCTATGATCTCTTCGGTGCTTCTTCTGTAGTCCTTCCATCGAGCACACTCGAAGAATGTATCCGGGCAGTATTTGCATGTTGTTGTGTTGTGTAAACCCATCTTGAAGAGATAGGCGTTGTACTGCCCATGTCCTGTCAGTAGTTGGGTCAGGAAGAAATCCGTGTCCCCGTGTTTCCGAGAGAGCCAGGCGTTGATGTTTGGGATCAGTCGCGCTGTCCATCTGACTGTCTCTCCTGACGTCCATCGGTCTTGCCACTCTTGCTGCGTTTCCGTTTTTATCCTCGTTCTTGCCTCCTTCATGTTTTCGCCGCCGATTTTAGCGTCGTAGAGTCTTGCTCTCTCAAACGCTAATAGGTCGATGGGCGCAGCTCCCGCAATGACCAATACAGCCGCTTCGGAAACCGTGCGGTAGGCACAGGCAACTCTGAGAGCGCCTCGCCGCTGCACTGCTGCCATTTTCCGCCGATAGGTTTTCTGCTTTAATATATCTGCCCATATTTCTGCTCCATAAAGCAGTACCGAATGGACTGCTTCCAGAAGGACTCTCCTCTTTTTGGTTCTTGGTCCCATAGTGTTCGTCATAATTCTTGCTAGGCTAGACACCGTCTTGCTGGCTTTCTGGCATGCATTATCGAGGTGTTCGCGGAAAGATAGTTTCTCGTCTATCATTACCCCCAGATAGCGCAGGGCCCTTGTTGACGTTAGTGTTGTTCCTCCCATGTCCATAGCGAATGGTTTTGGGAACCATTTTTGGTGAGTCAGAACGACCATCTCGGTTTTGTGCTTGGCGAGTTTCAGGTGGTGTTTATCGAGCCAAGTCTCGACAGCATCAATGGTTTCCCGAACTAGTAGTTCGGTCTCCTCTACGCTGTCTACTATTATCGTGGCCGCGACGTCGTCTGCAAAGCCCGTTAGCTCCACTTGCTTTGGCAACGGGATTTCAAGAAGCTCGTCGTAGTCCGCGTTTCATAGATCGGGCCCCATTATTGAGTTTTGCGGCACGCCAGCTGTTATAGCGTATTCTTGTGGGCCTTCCGTGGTTTCTGCTATTAGCTTTTTTTCGTCAAGGTAGTTGTCGACTAGTGCCAGATTCTCCGGTTCCACGTCAAAGCTGTGCTCCAGGGCGTCCAAAATATCTCTCCAATTTACGCTGTTAAAGGCATTTCTAATGTCTAGCGTGAGGACAAGACACACCTTGCGGGCTTTGAGGCTACCAGCCCATGCTTCTCTCGCTGTCCCTACGACTTTCTGTATCGCGCCTACTGTTGAACGTCCTTTCCGGAAGCCATGTTGGTTCGCGGCAAAACCTCCAGCACGGTCTATGTCGTTGCGAAGTCTCCCTTGTATGAGCTTCTCGAGCAGTTTTCCAGCAATGTCCAGCATACAGAGTGGTCTAAACGACGAAGTTGTTATGGGGGTTCCCTTACCTTTGTCTAAGAGAACCAATCTCTGCCGTTTCCAGACCGCGGGAAACGTACCAGTTGCCAAGCATGCGTTGTAGGTGTTCAGGAGTATGTCTGGGTATTCCAGGGCTACAATCTTAATCACCAATGCCGGGATACCATCAGGTCCAGGTGAGAGTGACTGTTTTGAGTGACTTGGCCGCGTCTTGTAATTTCTTAGTTGTGAAGGGTGTTACTTCGCTGTTCTTAGTGTAGTGTTTCTTTTCCTGCGGCAGGTGTTTGGGAAAAAGCTCCGCTACAATGCTGTCCATCAAGGCAGGAGACTTCGGCGTCTCTGGTGAAGCCTTTTCAAGTCGTTTGGCGACAATTTGGTAGGCTTTACCCCAGAGGTCATTGTCGAGGTCATTGCAGATCTCTTTCCACAACTTCGCTTTACTTGCTTTGATGGCTCGGTTTAGCGTCTTTTTGGCCTGCTTATACTCTTTTGAATACAAGTCCTGGCTTGGGGAGCGTTTTGTGGCTCTCGTTGCTCGGCGACGTAGCTGATGGCATATTTTGCGAAGTTCTGCTATGTCTGCTGACCACCAGTACGCCGGCCTGTGGAAACTCTGATTTTTCAGCCGTGGCATAGAGGTGTCACATGCGGCAGCAATTTCCTTCATCGTATTTCGCACTGCCTTTTCCGTCTCGCTGCTCGTATCCGGAGTCGGGTTGTTCTGAAGAATAGACCAGCTTCGTGCAAGTGAAGCTTTCAATGCCTCTGGATCAAGCCTTTTGGCATTCCACTTCCGCTTAGAAACGTCGCGTTGTGAAACCAGAGCAAATGCCAATCCGACGCTGAATGTTACGAACTGGTGATCACTGCCACTGTATTCTTCGGATACTGTTCAGTCTTCGATCATGTTGGCAGTCCTTGGAGTCGCCAATGAGATGTCGAGGATGAATTCTTGGTACCCCCCGGGAAAAACGGATTAGATCTCGCCATATATAAACAGATCTGGCCAGATCTTTAAATTGTCTCTATCTGACGAGATCTGGCCAGATATAATCAGATCTGACCAGATCTGGTTAAATTTTAAAATTGCCCAGGTAAAAATAGTTATATATAATTATATATACTCATACATAATTATATACGAAAAATGGCCATATATAATTATACACAATTTTATAGAATTATTTTCATAAAAAAAAAAAAAAAAATCGGCGCGCACGGGAACCGAACCTGGGACTTGACGCTTGAGAGACTAATTCATTACCTGTTTACCAACGAGACTTGCTTGAAACGAGAGTAGGTAGAGTTTGTAATAACTATAGTTAATAGCCTTAGCAGATCTGGCCAGATTTGTTTATATATGGCCAGATCTGATCTGTTTTTCCCGGGTACAAGTAATGTGAATCGTGTCCATGATCGATGCGTAATAAACAAAGTTTTTTATCAAATTTATTGCAAATTATTAATTATTAATATACGCTGATGGGAAGATTTATTAACTATTAACGAATTAATTTTATATTTAGTAAAATACTTTATAAGTATTTATTAATAGTTAAAAAATATAGTTATATCTGGCCAGATATAATAAAATATTTTTGTGTCTGACTTTTTTTTTAACCCAGATATAGTTATATCTGTTTAGATCTGATCAGATATGACTAGATCTGATTATGTCTGATGTATTTATCAACTCAGATATAGTTATATCTGTTTAGATCTGATCAGATATGACTAGATCT